GTTGGAGCAAGAGCACGAAGGACTTCACAGCATAAGCGCCCTTCCTTAACCCAATCGGCAGTTGTAAGTATGTAACCTAATAAAAGCACGCCTACTGAAAGGATACAAGTACGTCAGCAATATTGACTCATAATCCCAGGCTACCCACATTTGTGCTACCGAACGCAATAACTCGACAACCACAAGCCTGCATTGATTACCAGCACTCGTGCTTTTTGCTGGGATTATATTTGAGGCGATAATTGCTTGCCTGTCCGTATCAGGGTTGTTGTTTTTCGGTATTTCGAAACCATTATTAATTTTTGGCGCGTCGCTGGTTGGTGATTTGGCTAAGTGTTACCGGAAATGTTGATCGCCGGCGCCACCTCTAAGGGCCTAAGTAATTTGCTCAGATAGAAACATACCACAGAATACGAAGCCGGGGTGCAATTCCACCTGTTAATTGGAAGTTGGCCATGAAACCATGACTCATGCAGTTCGCGGTCCACGCGTCGTAACCTCTTGCAAGAATTGCAGCCTCGTCAAACTTGCAGGTATGACCGGGTGCTGTAGAAAGAGCCGAGATCCTGGAGATTGCGGCATTCATCCTCACCGCTGCTGCATGTTGGAACACTGACGCTTGAAGTAATCTTCCCCGGGGTTTGCCCGTCTCATGACCCGACGACTGTTGGTTGCTTACGGTCTGTGCGCATCTGAACCTCTCGACGCAGCTCCACATGCACCAGCAGACGAACAAATTACACGTCTCGATGGAGGGAAGAAAAACCAGCTTATATTCCTCGGCGTCGTCGTCTGCGGCTAAGATTACAGTGGCGAAATTACCAAAGAGATCCAACAAGACAATGGAGAGGGTAGAGTATCAAGTATTCCTGTATAATTATTTAATTTACCGTGGAAGCTAAGATAGTAATCTAGTTGATTACGCTTCGACGCTCAGCATAGGTCATTGTCACATGCCAGAGCACAATGCTTTTAGGCACCAATAACCCTCCTTCGCACTCCTGCCGCCCACAGAGCTCTTATATTTCTATCTCACGCCGGTCTCCTTAAATTTGTGAGAAATATTTATGTGCGACCACCGTACTCGGAGATTCAGAATCAAACGTTTTTGGGGTTTCATGCTGAGGCCAATGTCAAAACGCAACGAGCATAAAAGGGCAACGATATGGCGTCTGCCGAAAGTGCTGTCGTACGCTGCCATTTAGCCAAGAAAGATATTGTGGTAATTAAAAAATAAACAAAAACAACTTCTTAAAAAGCAAAGGATTTTTAATAAACAGCCTAAGATAAGTTTACAGTTAGTCAGGAATGGAAAGACATTTTAAACACACGACGGCAGTTCAACAATCGATTTCGATGATGTCCACCGTATGCCCCACAGCAGGTGGGAGCAGGGACGGTGACTTGCGCAGGGGTTTATAGTACGGGCAGACTTGCGCTGCATCTACCTACACTCTCTCCTCCTCCACCGCCTGAGCCCGGTGTCAAGAGAGAGTCAAGAAGACCGGAGACGAGGGAGGCCGCAGGTGGATGGCTCGGACGGATCCTCACCTAGGCGTTCTACCCCACCCCTGGTCCACACAACAAATGACCAGGATTTTCGCCAACACAACAGAGATTTGGAGGCTGACACGGCCGAAGCCGCACCTAGGCGTGCCGCCGACACCTGGCTCGGATCCCACACTGTGGTGGGAATGCCATAAAGGCCACATTAAAAAGGAGCCATTGCAGCCTGACTCTCAGACCGCCTCCAGTCAAGGAGGAGGTCCAAGTTACCCCGTCAGTTGGCAACCTTCCAAGCCACGGC